AACATGCAGACTTATTGAAAAATGATAAACGAACGTGAGGTACTAAATTTAATAGCCCTTAATTTGATATATCGTCCTGTTTTTAACAATAACGCATTCCATAGATATTACAAGCCAAAGTTTCATTTTAAAAATTCATACACTTTGATTCAATTGCGCGGGCTAAAGATAAGTTTTAAATTAATCTTTCTTGGCCAATAACAATTGGCTTAGGCCTAAGACATTATAATATTACTATTACAATGCGGTCAAATGACTTTTATTTTCCCCCATACAAAATCGAACCAGCCTAATGTACATATGTTATTCTTTATTCGTTAACTAACTTTATAAAAGTTTGGTTTGGATTATGAACATAGTATAGATGAATTACATTTAAAAATAAAATAAACAGAAAATACATAAAAATTTTTTGTAAATAAGGACATTTCCATGGACGGGGAATTTTATGAAATTTCGGGCAAAATCGGCGAATTTCATTACCGAAATCGGAGAATTCTCAAAAATGAGTTGGCTACCCTGGTGAAGTGGTCCAGGTCAGCATAACAAGTTGCTAGTATGCAACCTGGTTCTTTTGCATATACTTTAAAACTACGTCCCAGTACACCACCTGGTCCTCAAATTTTTGCAGGGTAGTCACCTTGTACTTATGTGCGTCGTCGTAAACACCGTTGCCAGAAGAGGGAATTTTTCCCGTTTTGCGGGAATTTAGAACAAAAAAGGGATGGCAGGAATAATGGTCGTGAAAACGGGGAAAATCACATTCGCCGTGGGAAAGCTGTATGGAATTTAAAGTTTAGTTACGCGAAGAATCTCGTCCGTCAGCATCCACCTCCAATCAAACTCGAGCATATTGCACAATATGTGCTGTAAGCCTTCTTTTTAAGAAATATCAGCTGTAGGATTTTTTTGGCAATCAGCTGATAGTGTTTTTACTTAGGAAACTGTACGATGACTAGAGTACTCGGCCATACTTTGTGTGTATAGGAGGAATGCGATTTTGTGTTGTATTCAGGTCCCGCTGGGCCGAGCAAAGGCCCGTTTTTGTCAATTTGATAGTGTCCATCACTAATTGCGGTAGTGAGAGGCGGTTTTCGACAACTTCTTTTTACATTACGACATCATTCGAATTTATTCACATCGATTTCATTCATCAGCGAAATCATGTGTAAAATAGAGTGAACTCTATTGAAAGCATATGAAACGAAATTCGGACTATAGAAATTACAAAGCATCAATGATACGAACGCAATTATTCGACACAGTCATTTTTAAACACTTTTATGTAATTTTTTAGGTGCTGTTATCAGCAGAAATGAAGTAACTGAGAAATCCGAACGGAGAGAATCACCGACAGCCGTCATTCGAATAACATTGGCCTCAATGGACGAATACAATATATTATTGCAAAATGGGTTAAACTTTTATGATGCTACGTTCTTCCCAACAGAAGCAAATCTTCAAATGAAAGGTGCAAAAATTGACTATAAAAGACGGTATTTACATAAACTGTTTGTTTTACAGCAGACTTGCCAACATTTTTATAAAATATGTAATTTATTTAGAATTTTTGATGGAAATAAGCCGAGCCGCGTACGTGAATTACTTCCTGTTTTCGATGCAACTGGTTTTCGTAAATTGCCTCCACCTGCGAGTAAACTTATAAAGCCATCGAGGATTATAAAGTAATTGTTTCTAATAATAAAAATGCACTATTACAAAAAAAAAAAAAAAAATATTTTTTCAAATACATTACCACGTAAAATTAATATCGAAAGATGCTTCTAATTCTGTGCATTCATTTTTACTTTATTAATACATTTAATATAAAACTTGTTGCAAAATTATCCTATTCATTTTATTAATATATCCACATGTAAGTACATCCAAACTATTTATGCATATCGAATACTTCCTTATTATATTTATTTATATGTAGCTATATCAGCAAGGGCATAGCCATGAGCAGATGTATGGAGGGGGGAAGGGGGGGGGG